AATTAATAATAATTAATTCCCTAAAATTAAGTAATCAAGACATTACATATGGTGGAGAATAGAAAGCTGGCAAAGATTTGACTGAGAAATTAATGATACCAAGATATTATTATTATGAATTTTCTCTATTTTTATCCGGAAAAATAGACGAAAAATAGAGAAACAGAGTTTGTGAGTTATTATACCTGGTATTATAGCACGGCAGAGCGTGTTGAATGAAAGTGAAACTCGAGAGTTTGTTGTTTAGAATTTAACTGCAGTAAAAACGTTTTAATTTTGTCCACCGATACAAAATAAGTCGCTTTAGAGCGCACATGAACAGAGAAGCAAGCGTGTTCCTTGTTCTTCTGTCTTTTAAAAGGCCTCAGAGTGTGATTCGCGGTGCTCAGAAAGTATCCGAACGCTATTTATTTTTGGGAGAATTATGAAATCTTGATCAAGTGAAATTGTGGTTAAATCCACGTGTTTTTGTCTGTATAAATATGTGCTAATATCCGCCGAGATATCATTGACAGTTATTGTATTAATTGCAGTGAATCTGTAGATTAATTCACCTCACTCGGAACGAGTTGAGATTGGTCAGCACTATAAAGATAAGAATCTGTAGTGCTTTTTGGTTGTGTAGTGCGAGAGGCGCTGACATCTCACTGACAACCCACAGCTAGTAAGCTCACATGCGCATGCTGTGTACGTCACCATAGCAACAGCCGTAACCCGGAAGTTCGAAGAAACCCTTTCCGGAGGTAACTTTCAGTCCGCCAGCGCCATTTTGAGCTGTTTGTAAACAAATAGCCAAGCTAAGCTATTAGCATTGAAGGCTAGTGGTTAGCACGTAGCATTTTGTTGTCTCAAAGGCAAAATGCGTTGCAGTGTTTGAAGTGTTGAAGTGACTTGCTTAGTTACATCTGAACTTTATCTTTCGCTATGTCATACGGATTTCATCCTATTTTTCTTTCCTCTCCTCCCATTGAACAGAACAGACAGATGCAAACTTTATAAACCTTATTGCAACGTGATTTTAACCAAACAGATTAGCGATGCCATAATTGGTGATGATCACGTTTGTTTAAAAGGGTTGTCCTTTTCTCCCCAGCGTGTTAATAAAGACTCAGAACAGTGTATCTGTTAACGTCTCTTCCATTACAGGACTGAGACTCAGAACAGTTGTTGTGTCTGTTGCTGCCTTCCCTGTAACAGGCCAGAGACTCAGAACGGAGGTTGATCTGCTATCGTCTCACCCATGCAGGGCTCAGACTCAGAACGGGTTGTTTCTGTTGCTGCCTTCCCAGTAACAGGACTCAGACTCAGAACAAGGAGTGTCTTTTTGGGACGGTACATTATCTCTTTCCGATGAGGAGATTGCAATTTGGAATCTGAAATGTAAATTTCTCAATTTCCAGGCTGTGATTGGCTGTTTCCATCAGAGTCGGGGGACATGGTGTGGCCCACCCTTCTTTCCTCCTGTGGAATTTATTTGCATATTCCAAACACACATTTAGAAAAGTGTCACTAAAGTTTTACCAATGCATTTCTCACTTTCCAAACCACAACCAGAATACATTTGGCAATATTACAAACACATTAATTCCAAAAATGATGGAAAAAGATTGAACTGTCATGCATGCATTAATTTGTCCATTAACAGCTGTGTAAGATGTTGCACTACACGTCGCTGTCACTGAGAATACTTATTCCTCTGAATAAGTATAAGATGTTTGTGTTGTAGTTTGCATCAGTTTAAAGTTTGAGGACATAGTTATGAATGGATTTGGATGGAACTCTGTGATCTCTCTTTGTTTCACCCACTGTTGCTGCGTCCAGAGTTCCTAAGGAATTTTTATGGCGGTCACAGGCCAAAACCTGAGGAATTCCACTATAGCGGCCATAAACTGGGCCCTTGAATTTGCTGTCCACTACACCTGTCACATCAATCTTAATAATTGTCTTGGTAAGTACACTTGGTAAAATATAGTAAAATATATCCATTCTGAATACTGACCTATTGGCGGCACTTGCACCAATAATATATTCACTTTGTCAAATGTCAAAACGTTTGATAACTGGAGATTTGAGTGTGGGACTTTCTTGATCTGATATGTTCTCAAGATCCCATTGGGAAGTATAAGTGAACGTAATTCCTCATTTATTTTACAAAAATAGGATAAAATAGTTTTATGAATTTAACCAGCATTTAAATATTTAAGAGTAATCACTAGTGATTGTTACTCGTATAAACGCTACCAACCGATCTGAAGTCGGCTAAACAATACAAAACAAAAGATAAACAATAATTATTAATAATAATTGCTATCAGGTTGTGATTTAGCTTGTTGAGAAACAGATTTAACCTGACGTCGAACAGAGTTAAATATGAACAACTTTGTTCACTTATCTTTTACTCTGATGTACAGAAATATAAAGATGATTGTTTTATTTTTTGTCTTTTTACTCATGGATGGTAAGTAGATTTAAATGGTTTTCAAGACAGTTTTTTATTTTTTTTTATTTTACATATATAAAAAGTGATGATTATTATATTTCAAATTCCCACATTAATGTTTATTTAGCTCTATTTTTTGGAGCTTAAATTCTTGGTGGCATCATCATCTGTAGAAAGAAAAAATGTAAGTAGGCCTACAGGTGCATGTAATACAGACAAAAATAAATGAAACAAACATAAATACAAAGATTACATTACTTAGAACAAGGCATGTTTTTTGTTTGAATGTATCTATGTGATGAATTATAAGTGCTTCATTTCTGTGCCGTTGTCACATTCACTACTGAATTAATATTATCCAGAATTCAGTGAACTTGCCTGCTGTTTTGTTGTTCCTGTATTCATATAATATCCTGCTGGACTTGAAATATGGCCTTGGACATGTAAAGACTTGAACATAATTATTGGAAAGGATAATTCACTCAAAAATGAAAATTCAGTCATCATTTACCCACCGTCATATCATTCCAGCCTGTATGACTTTCTTCTGTACAAAAAATATGTTAGATGCAATATCCACACCAAGCATTTCAATATATTAAGTGTCAATAGAATAGAAAGCTGCAAGGTCCATGATGAAATACTTAACTTAAAATCTCTATCTAGGTGTTTTTAGTGATAATCCAGTTAAGTCAGTGTCAGTGATGGAGGAAGATTCTATTACTCTATAAACTGATGTTACTGAATAGAAAGCTGATCTGATACTGTGGACGTTTGGATCTGACAACACTCGAATAGTTCAAATCAACAGAATGGCCAATAAGATCTCATTATATGATGATGTTCTTGATGGGAGATTCAGAGACAGACTGAAGGTGGATCATCAAACTGGATCTCTGACCATCACAAAAACCAGACCTCAACATGCTGGACTCCTTTACAGATCTTCCTCTTTTTACAGATCATTGATGGAAAAGAGGTCCTGCCCAAGAAATTCAGTATTATTGTTTCTGGTGAGTCATTCTGTAGTTGCATAACCTATGCATTAATGTCCAGTCTGCCACATTTACATTTGTGCATACCAAACTGCATCAGGGTGTATTAGTATGACATTTACGTAAAAAATTTGTTATATTTTCTCATGTTTCCCAGCTCTGTCCATTCCTGTCCTTTACACTGGAATGGTTTATTGTTGTGTTCAGTGGTGAATGGTTATGTGACTCTCTCCTGGTACAAAGGAAACAGTTTATTGTCCAGCATCAGTGTGTCTGATCTCAGCATCAGTCTCTCTCTACCTCTGGAGGTGGAATATCAGGATAAAAACAGCTACAGCTGTGTGCTCAACAATCCCATCAGCAACCAGACTCAACATCTGGACATCAGCAAACTCTGTCACACATGTTCAGGTACGGCAGTGTGTTTTCACAGAGCTGGTCATATTCATGTACGCCAATAACCATTTTTAGCAGTTCCGACGCTGATACAGTATCTCTCTTCCATCATAGCACCAGGTTTGTCCGCAGGTCATATAGCACTGGTTTGTGTTTGTGCTCTGGCTGTGGCTGCAGTTTTGTGTGGTATTTATTATTACTGCCAGCGCAAGACGCGTAAACAGGCAGATGAAGGCGGTACGTGTTACTTGTAACTAATTTAAAAGAAAAAGTAAGAGTGCAAAATATTGTTTTGTAAGAAAGTTTGCATTTACTTCTTCATAATTGTTTCAAGTACGCTATTATTTTTTTATACAGATGAACCTGACGGAGAGGAACTCAAGAGCCTAAAAGGTGAGATACAATTTAACTATGTGTACAGATTCTTGTGTTTTTGATGTAGCTTCATTCTTTCCATTTTGACATTAAACATCATCACAAAAAAACTCTAAAGTTGTAATATTATAGTCAGTGTTGGGGAAAGTTGCTTTTAAAAGTAATGCATTACAATATTGCGTTACTCCATAAAAAGTAACTAACTGTGGTACTTAATTACTGTTTAAGTAATGCACTGCATTACTTTTGCCTTACTTTTTGTCACTGGGCTTGCATATTTATTTTTTTTAATAACAAAAAAGCCAAAAGTTATATTTTTGGCAACTGTAAAGGCCCTTTCACACAAAAAGTGAAATGAATGAGCCTCAGACTGAAGGAAGTGCCTCTGCTCTTATTCCCAATTTCTCTCAACATGGGGACAGGAGAGGTATCAGTCAATAAATGTGAATAAAGTAACTTGCATTACTTATTTAATAAAGTAACTCGATATTTCGTTGTAAATTTAAAAGTAATGCTACTTTATTAGTTACTTGAAAACAGTAATCTGATTACATAACTTGCATTACTTGTAATGCGTTACCCCAACACTGATTATAGTTAGAGATGAAAAAAGATTTAATTGAATCAAGTTATGTAATCTTTATTAAAGGTGTAGTTCCTGGAAACAATGGGGATGTTCATCAGCCAAACCATGGTACGATACTGCATTACTGAATCTCTCTGGGTGTTTGTGTTCATTTAAATCAGCATATAAGAGATGGTAAAACAGGTGCAGTTCCTTTGTTAGCTGTGGAGGTAGACGGTAAGATGTCATGTGGTAATATCTTGTTAACCTCAAATGTACATGGAATAATAAATTCACCCTTACCGTTTTATTACATTATGTTTTCTGTTTGTACTGTTTAGGTTTTAATGCCGCATTGCACATCTGAGCTATTTGCACTATTTTAATACTGCTGCAAACTTTTTATAATTGATAATTTTATATTGCCATTTTAAATCATTTGTATTCTTAAGCTTTACTATCAATTTGGAAGTTTCAAAATAAATTCATACATCTCACAAGTTATTTTGCCAAAAAAAGACATGAAACCAAATTCAAGGTTATTTGGGCTAGAAGTGAGTTACACATAGCCGGACTATATCGGGTCTATACTTAACCGAGACGTTGAAATGATGGCTATTGCTTCATTGTGAAGAGTTACTGCTGATGACAAGAACGGGCAGAGGAGCTGAAAACATGAGAGAATAAAAAAATCTTCATGTAAATGTCACAATAAAACACCCTAATGCAGTTTGAACCCTGATGTTGGACATTGTGTCTGTCCCTCTTGTAAGATTTACAGAACCTCAGACCCTTTGATCTTCTGAGACAGACAATACACACACAGTGTATTAACATACAGACATCTGTTTCCACATCTCACTGAGAGAAGATGTGGGAAAACATCTTTCTCACATATGCATCAGTTCCTTTTCATCGTGGAAAAGGACTATCCCTTTAAATCCAATAATACTGTTCTTTACAGTCTTATAATTCTTTACAGGTCCAAAACCACATTAAATGTTTTTATAAATTTTTAAATATTTGGTCCTGTAACACATGAATTGCAGGCATTTGATTAGAGATTTCTCATTTTCAATCGTCTGCACAGTTACACTCAAGACATTTTCTGAATTTAAGCCTCTCAAAATATTAATTGTATGTAAATTAATTGTAAATTGATAAATAGTAGCTTGATATTTGTATAAATTATATGTAATACAAAATTGCATAAAATTAGCCCTATATTCAAATAACTTTTAGATATTTTGTTGAAATATGTAAAGTGAAAGTGAAAATTAATTATTGAAACTGCTAAATCTACTCACCCTCCAACGGGACTAACATGATAACAATTATTTGAATAATCCTGTAAATGAGAGAAAAAGATGAGATAAAGTTGTCCATTGTTGTTGTTAAATTGTTCCGTTGAGTCTCAAAGCGTTCGGAGTCCATTCGGGGTCGTTTCAAAACGAGCTAAACCGCAAGCTGATAGCGACGATTAGTATTAACGTTATTTCACTTTGAACTTCAGATCAATATGTAACGGTTCTACAGGTGAAACGCTAAAATCGTACTTGACGATTTCTGTGATGGGAAAAGTAATTTGGACTTTCTTAAAATAAGGAAGTAGGCTAAGTTCTTTGGAACTTCCGAATGTGCACATTCCATGAAAACTGTCATATTTGAAACATCTCAGAACAGGATCCATCTGATCAGATCCAGCGCCACATCAGCAGAATCAGACAGAAACACCCGCACCACAGTATGCCTATGTCAAATGTCAAAACTAAATGTTAAAATGTTTTATTAGAGGTGGTGTGAGCAGACAGTAAATGGATGTGTTAGAAAGTGCAAATGCCACTCATTAAATGTTTGAAAGGAACTGAATTGCACCAATTACTATTACAGTGCCAACCGTCTCAGAGGGTCGATTACCACAGTGGATGTCGAATGACCATGAGAAAAATGAAGAGCAGTCAGTGAACAGTCAGTTGTACTAATTTACTCTTTAAGATGTTGAATAGCAATAATCAGATACACTGTGTACATATTCACCATCAAAGAATCACAACAATGCAAAGAAACATCCATATAAAGAGTGTAGGCATGCGCAAATAATAATCAAAATAAAGGAAATATTTCGACAGATGCGAGCTTTAAGGACACAGATGTCAGCTGGTTTCACAATTAGGTAGTGAAAAACAATTATTGCAACAGTCTGTGTTGGTCTCTACAGTCCTTTTAAGACGTCCGATGTCAGGATAGCGATATGAAACTGGTCTTTAGGCTGCATGCAATATTTTGATAATTCCACTGAAAAGTCTTGAGCTACTCACCATAGACAGTAACATTACATTTCTTGTATAAGTTCTTCTTGACGATCTCAAACTTATATATTCCAGAAAAATTAGCTTTGATATTCTTGATGGTAAGAGATCCAATCGATTGGTCCACCAGTAATCTGTCTGTAGATATCTTAATTTCAGAGTTCACAGCTATGACAGTATCGTCAGGTCCAAAGCTCCACACTTTCAGATCTTCTTTCTGTGTTTCACCAGAATGTAGAGTGACAGAATCTCCCTCCAACACTGATACTGACTTCACTGAATCTGGATCACCACCTGAAAAAATGGTGTAAAAAAAAAAGAAGAAAGAAATCAGGATCCGGTGACAACAAATGCAGCATAGTCTTCGTGCTCTGCATGCATGGTTTCTCCAGCCCACTTATGACTGACATGCATGTACTTGCATTAAAAAGTAAAAAAATTGGCCCTGGGCTCTGCCCCAATGACATTGAACAACAGAATGGAAGGTAATGATAAAATGGCTTATCATATTCATCATGATTGCATTCAACAAGTCAAGACAGAGATGACTGCAGCTGTGAGAAAAGCTAAAATATTTGTATGGTCTGCTGCTCATGCCATGAAGAGCCATGCATTTGATGTGTACTGGACACTTGCAACTGCCTTGGCCTTTATTCTATGTCAGTTATATTTAGTGTGTGTCATTATATGGATGATGACTGTTTGAATGTTTTGTGATAGTTGTTCATGACTTCCTGGGCAGTTAAACTGACCACTGTTTTTCATAAAAATTATTTTGTTCTGTTTTGAGATACATATGTGACCCTGGAGCAATTAAATTTTTTTGAAACAGAGCTCAGAGGTG